TTTCTTTTCTTGCTCGGCCTTTTCCGAGAGCTCCTGAGTAAGACTCTTCTCCTGGGTCACCAGGCGTTCCTTTACGCTCGCCAAGGATTTCTCCAAGGTTTCGTATGAGGACATCTTTTGGCGAAGAGGTCTCAGCTCGGTCTTGAGGTTGTTGATGGTCGCCTCCAGCTCGCTATTCCTCTTCTGAGCTGCCTCTAACTGAGCCCGGATAGCGGCGGTAGCCTGCGCCTAATAATAAAGAATATCAATTGTCAGAACTTCATTTTGGGCAATTTGAAACATTGCCTTATCACAGTCAGAGGCGGCCATAGCTTTTGCAGCCTTTACCTCTTTGTTCTTCCGGTCAAGCGGCTTGCGAAGGCCGTTCACTCGGAGCAGGGCCTAAGTAAAAAGGGGAACAGGCGTCAGTTTCCAAACAAAAAAGAAAACGGGCGTCCTGGAATTCAAATACTCAAAAATATGCTAAGTATACCTCAGCAAGGACCCCTGCAATCCCGTCTAGGTCAAGGGTGCCGACACCCCTGACCGCCTCCCTTTCAGCTGGAGGTACGGCCTTGATCATAGACTTGGCCACTTCGACCAAGTCAGGCTCCTGAGGGCCGGCTGCATCAAGCATAAACAAACGGATTAGACCTAGTAAAGGAGGGAGCAAGTCTAAAATTTACAAGGACAATTTCATACTTCTAGGTGGCCCAGCTGGAGTTTTAGAAGAAGTGGCCGGCTGTTTCTCAGCCGCCGCATATTTCCTGGCAGAACAAGGAGAGCTCGCAACAGTCGTCCTCCGGGCCTTGGGGTCCGGCTGTTGGGAAGAAGAAGCTTTTGGAGCGCCCGTCTAAAAAAGAAGAAAAGAGTCAGTATATGCATAAACACAACTCCAAAAGGAGGGTGAAAGGTTCGAAGCCCACCAAGGGTGCCCCTTGTTAGGGGAGTCGGTTGAAGACTGTTGCATGATGGAGGCCCGCAACATGGCCGCCGCAGTCTTGGAGGCGGTAATTTTGCTCATGGCGTCCGCTGCAAAAACAAATAGCAAAGTTAATAAAAGTCATAACAAGAAATGCACGGAACAACAGAGTATTCGACAGGCCGGCTACCTCTTGAGCACCGACTGCTGAGGCCACAGGCGGCCAAAAAGTACTCGTCGTAGAGCCATTTGAAGCTCGGGACGCAGTGCAGGGGTACTTGCTCTCGTACCCCTGAAGTAGAGTTCACCTTCGACTCTACTTTGAAAAGTCCTTTATCTAGGATCTCTTTCTTAGCCTTGGGGGGAACAGGCGGCATGCTGCGGCCGCCTGCAAGAAGGGGCGGATTCCTGTTCCACCTGTTGAAGCGCTTGTTCAGCTCTGTGTCTGAACTCTCAATGATAAGGAAGGTGCTCCGCCAGTCCTTCCATTTGTTTGCTTTACCTCTCGTCATGAGGTAGCCCCTGTGGCTCGTCAATTGATACCAGCCGGTACCGCCTGCCTTAGTGGTCCGGCTGAGGTAGTTCATGTGGGCGAAAGCCTCGAAGTTCGGCTCCACCCCGTGCAGTTCGCACCCGTCCACATAGCCGAGTACGTTGACCCAGGAGTTCGGGGCTAACTGCCATAACCCCAACTCATACCCATCCAAGATCCGCTGAACAGCCGGATGTAGTGGGAAGCGCAGCCCAGCCTTAATGGCCGCCTCGTAGCAGCCAAAGCAGGCGCCATCATAACTGGTACCAGCCGGCCAGACGACTGTGTCCTCTGGATCCGGCACGAACACTAAAAAGCCGGGGCCCATTGTGTTGTTTGCGATAAAGCTCCCCACTTTCTCTTGCATGGCCGTGATCCGGCCCCGAGGTACCGTGCAGTAGTAGGGGGTATTTTGCTCTCGGTGAGAGGCGGATGGCTCCGCCCAATCGTCCCCCTTCTCAACTACGTGAGAAAGCCTCGCCTCTTGTAGGCGACTGTTTTTCTCTTCTGTGTCCAGAGAAGCATGGCCAGAAGAGCTAGACTCGGATTCGTCCTCTGACGAGTCCGAAGAGGACGACTCCTCTCCTCTCCCGGAGGGGCCCGCCTCCTCTCCTTTCAAAGGAGCAGGAGAGAATGTAGAATTGTCAACTGTAAAATGGGAAGGGGTCACTTTGAATCCTCCCTCAGAACTGCCGGCTTTCAAGCCGCTTTGTTTCACTTCCACATCTGGCGCCTGGTCAGATGTTTCACTAATCGACACCCTGTGGGAGGAGCCGTCTGAGTTTGAGATCCTGGCAGTCTTTTTTGTTCTGGCCATCATGCTCTGCATAGACACAGATACAGTCGGACTTTGTATAAAGGGCAAAGATGGGTCCAGAAAAGGGAAGGCGGCACTCCTAGTCCTAGATTCAGCCGTCCCCGGTGACCGGCTGATCACTAACCTAGGTCGTGTCGTGTGTTTCCGTGGTGCCATTTCAAAAAAGAATAAAGTAAAGAGAAAATTAAGAGTAAGAGAACCGACGGTTACCTGAACGAGTGACGATTGATGAAGTTCTGAAAATCCTTTGCAGTTGGCTTGTCAGAGCAGGCGGTAGGCAGAAAGGGTCCAAAATGTCAGAGCAAGTTCAGGGGTCCGAATGTTCTCTCACAAAGTTTTCAAGTGTGAAAATGACCGAAGTCAACACTCCTTTATATAGGCGAAGGGTCACTTCCAGAATTCAAAATTTTGGCGGGAGAATCTCTCGGCCTCTCGCCGAGTGACACCTGTAGCAGGTCGTCGCCTGTTATAGGGCGACACCTGTCACAGGTAACACGTGACCAGTCACGTGCCACCTGTGAGGGGCAAATGATTAGGGGATTTTGCTCCCACCAATCGGAATGCGCCACGTGGGCCAATCAGGTCCTGCCAAGTGTCCCCCAGTTGGACCTCTCAGGGCTTGCCACGTGGCACACGCTTATTCGTCCACTCTAGACTTATTATGTCATGACATGTGGCATACTCCATGCCTAATGGAGAAGCCGGTCACCTAGGCCCAACTTCCGAGGGAAGCCCAATCAGCCCAAGGTTAACCTAAACCTAGATTAGCACGTTTCCCGAGGTTTTAAATACCTCCCTTAAACCTCATTAAGGGAGGGGACGCAGATTACACACATTAAACACTCTCACCTAGAGAGACCCAATCACTTTAATTTCCGCATTAATTACTCCTTAATCAAGTACTAACTTGACCGTCGGAGGCGGATCTCCAATCATCCGGAGCATCCGTTTGTTTTGCAGGTACAGGCGTCCGGTTCAAGTCTCGGAATTGTAACTCACCCGCAGGACATCAGAAAACCCCGAAACAGAGCTGACGATCTCTTGGATCGTTAAGGGGTGTAAGCTTCACCTCGTGAACGGTTTACAAGTTCCTAACAAAACTTGTTGGCGACTCTTTTTCTCTAACTTCTTTCCTTTTGGACGCCACCGTACTTTAGTGTATGATCACAGTGGGGTTCAAGCTAGGGGTTAACGCTTGAAATATTCCCTACAATACCTCTTGCTCTCTATTACTCGTATATAGGTTTAATAAAATCTTGATGATGCTTGACCAAATTATGGAAGGAGTACTTATATAGTTCGATTTGACCACATTGATATTTATTCGAATTGAACTTAAACCAAAACCCGACTCAACACTAACCCAAACCCGAATGTACCATCTTATTAACCCATCCAAACCCAACTCAACACAATCTGATCATGAAATTGAACCCGATCTGAATTTGACTCGAATTATTGAACCCGACCTATATTCGAAAAGGTGAATGACTCGCTATAACTTGAAATGAAATTGACCCGACCCGAACTTGAACCTGATCTAAAGCTAGATTGACCCGACATAACCTGATCTTGATTTAACCCAAGTTCTTATTTGACCTGACCCGAACCCAACTTGAATACCCGAAATAACAGCTCTAATATTGATTAACTTAATTATTTCCACCAAAATCATACCCCTTCCATCTAAATTCATACTCATCTTCATTGACAACCACCACCACCGATCTCCAGTCTCTGTTCATAAACCTAAAAATTTCTTTCTCTGTTCATCCCCCTCAATTCGACCGCAACATTCTATGGCGACCACTACCACCGTCAGAAGTCATTGTTTTTGTCCCTTTGCTTGTGGCCACCTTCGTTTTCTCTCTCTTCCTCTTCTTGTTGTTTCGTCATTGCCAATGAAGAACATATTTGAAGGTTTTATGGTCAAATTTAACCATGAAAACTCTAGATCTAGAGTTTTCATGGTTAAATTTGACAAATTAAATCTTTAATTGATGATAGAGAAGGCAATAGTTTCGTCATTGGGTTCGTCGTTTCGTGGATTCTAGGTTCGTGGGTTCTGGGTTTAGGGTCCGTCGATTGTAATTTTGGTGCTTATGGGTTCGTGGGTTGTGGGTTTGGAGTTGTGGGTAGTGATGGGCTGTAGTAGGTTCGATGTTTCGTGTTGTTGGGTTATTAGTTGGTTTGCACTACTAAGTGGTGGTGTTAGGTGGTTTCATGGTGCTAGATGGTGGTGGTGGGTTGTTTCGTGGCGCTAGATGGTGGTGTTGGGTGGTTTCGTGGTGCTAGGTTGTGGTTCGTGAATTCAAGTTGCTGGGTTGTGAACTTTAATTTAATTTTTTTTTTTTTTTTTTGAGGTTGGATCAACACTTAGTGTATGCCCTTATTTTTCATTAATCATGCTTTCAATATTTTTCCTAAGAGTTCAAAATCCCCTACTTTGTAACGAAGGGAGTATTATTAATTCAAAGGCGTTTGTTGCAACTCTAAGCTTGGCTCTAGCTTATTAATATAATCTTATTTTAGTGTGTTACAAAAATATCAACGAGGGCAAATAATAAGTAAACAAATATATTTTTTAGGGGTGTAAATAACCATATACTAAGAATTTGCTTAACTTGTGTCAAAAAAAAATAATAAATAAATAAATAAAAATAAAATAAAATAAAATTGCTCAACTGTTTTAAAGGTAGAAAACTCATTGTGGGAATATTTCTTACCTATTTTTTAAGACTCCATATTCATTTGCAATTTAGAACTAAAAGTTTCATATGTTGTGTAGAGTTAACAGATGACAATTTCTGGGAAACCACCCACATAGGCGCACACTGAAAAAAATAGAACTCTAAACACATTCATAGGCATTATAGCTGGTTAATTCTATAGCTAGGTCTTCCCATTTAAATTTCCCACCAAAAAAATGAAAGCTTTTGACATGATTCTCAAATACAGATGTATACTAGGATAATAATTTTTCACATCTTAAAATTAGTAACAAAAAGTATAAATGTACATTGACCTCTCAAAAAAACAATGCCTCAGCTACTTTTTAAGCAGCAGGTTCCTGAATTCATCATTAGATTTTGGTTTCTCATCATCTCCTTCATCTTTTGGCTTGATGGCTTTAAATCCAAGAGGCCTGACATTGCGCGGAACTGCAAATGTATTCTTTCCTTTGAGTTGGACTCTATCAATGTCATGCCCTTTACTAGAAGATGACTGATCAACAGACGGCTCAGAAGAACGGTTTTTTTCGGTTCTTGCTTGATCCCCAGACGGAATCTTTGAACCTATTGAAGCAAGGGGGAAAAAGGCAAGATATCATATAAGTGAGAAGCAAATGGTCAAATAAACATCATTAAGGAAAGAGAATTATTCCCTCCATTAAATACATCATTAACGACACTTTATTGTAATCAGTGGTGTAAGTTACAGCAAAAGAAAGAAGGGCAATTATTGTAATCTCTTAATAGAGCTGGCTAATCTTATTATAAATCCGATAAAAAGACTATTAGTAACTTCCAAATGATGAATCCTATGAAACTCCTCTACCATCCTCCAGTTGTCGAGGCAAGGTACAAAAGTACAAATCAGCTAGAACTTTTAAGAACCTCCTACTTGAGAGTTGGAGGAAAAACAGAAGATAACATAATTTTTTTTTCCCTCCAAAGATCTTTATAAAGTTCACCAAATAAAAATTCCCAGACATGAAGTGCACTTAAGATTTAGTCACATCATTACATGGGTATAATTAGGTAACAGGATAGAAAACAAAAGTAATCATTTTTTACAAAATTAAATAGAGACCCTTCATAATTTCTTAAGATTGATGAAGTATAGCACAAGTTCAACAAACATATGATATAGAAAAAGATAAAGAATGCACACATTGATTACAAACTCTATGCTTCAAAGTATGTACAACACTTTATGCATCAGATGAGCACAAATAATATGAATACAAAGGCAGTTGACAATGTAATGAAATAAATAAATTATAGAAACTAAAAAAAAAAAACACACATGCGTGCGCGCACACACATATTATAGTCTCGGCATTACTTTAACTATTAAACTGTGTTTTTGTTTATTATACAAACATCAATTATTTAATACTAATACCTTTATTTTCTAAAGTTCCTTAACATAGTTTTTTGCACACAAATTTATAGTGGGAGTGAAAAAGTGGATAATTTAAGAGAGTATAAAAAGGTGGATGGGTGTAAATACTATGAATGTGGTAAGGTCTAGATATCATGGGGTAAGAAAGGTAAGATAGTACTCCCTTTGTTTTTTGTTTTTGTTCGATTTGATGTGTTCTTTATTTTATCTTCCAATTTTTGCTTTATTCCTTTAGAAAGTGTTTGTTTGGAGGGATAAAAAGAGGAGGATAGGGATAAAAAGAAAGGGATTTATATATTCTTTTATTTGTTTTGGGGGATGGAGAAAACTAAGGAGGTGAGGATAGGGATAAAAATGCAACTTATCCCTCCAAGAATAGAATTAATGAGGCAAAATACATTTTTACCCTTAATGAAGGAAAGGAGGAAGAAAGAGGAGAAATATGGGTAAGGGTAGTTAAGTAAATTTCTTGCTTATCCCCATATAATTCCCAATCCGTACCAAACAAAGGATAACATCATTTTTATCCTTATCCCACCTACTGATCCTCCATCCTTGTTCCACCCTTTTATCCTCCTTATCCCTATCCCTCGTGCCAAACGCCCCCTAATGATAAAGAATATTTACACTTTTGTCTCTTCTTACAAGGAGGCAAGGGTGTTCACCTTGAATGGGAAGATTGTCCACGGTTTTGATATCTGGGATCTTTTATTCAAAAAGCTGAAAAATTAAATGCAGATGTTGCTCACAGGATCAAAGCCAGTTGGTTGAAGGGAAGAATGCATTGAGGTTTTTATGTGATCCCAGCATGGCTCATAGATTTCTACTGAATGTCAATTAGGCCTGGTTTGCTAAATAAGTACAGAATAAATGTTAGACTATGGCATATGCATAAGATGAATGTAGCGTAAATGCAGCGAAGGATGTGTGGTCATACAAGAAAGGGTTAGTTTAAAAATGAGATAATTTAGAATAAAGTAGGGGTTACATTGATTGAGTACAAAAAAAGGGAGAATCGCTTAAACGGTTTGGCCATGTTAGAAGGAGCCCAAGTAAGGCTCCAGTAAGGATGCTTGAATGGTTACAAAGTGTTGGGATCGTGAGGAGTAGTGAAAGTCCTAAGAAAACTTGGAAGAGTGTGATTGAAAGTGATGGGTGCTTTGGGGAATAAGGAAAATATAGTTTTGGATAAGGCGGTTGCAGAGAGAAAATTCACATCAAAGAGGTGTCATGATTATATATACATACTTTAGCTTATTTTATCTTAATAAATGCTTTTATTATTTTACCCAATTCGAACTGTATTGATTTCCTTTGCCAAAGTTTTCTCAAACCTTTATGTTTTTAATTACTCGTATGATTTTACTACTACTCTAAAATTTTCTTAAATTTTATTCTTGGTTCTCTTTTAACACTCTTAATTTTTACTTGGATGCTCTTTCTTTTTCTCACTTTACACATCTTTCATTCAAACGCTTTCAATTGATATTTTGTTATGTCCCTTTTTCTTTATCAAATGGCTCCTTGGACGATTCATGTTAGCTGACCCTAAATCATTTTGGGACTAAAGCTTTGTTGTTGATCACTTCTAACCTCACTACATAAAATATAATAATACCAAAGTTTATAAACAAGTTTCTCTCTCCTACCTACAGTTACAAAGGGATCACTTTCCAATTATTACTTCATTTCATATGACCTGTAGATAGTTTGATTAAAAAAAAATATATTTTTTTTTTAAAAAAAAAAGGAAGAAGAAGAGAGGGAGTAAGAATAAAGTAAAAGTTTCATGAACTTTTTGATACGGGCTAAAACATAAGGTGTTAAAAACTTTTAGAAATGAAGGTAGTATATTGATTGTTTACCACAATGTAGCATAATACTCGTAGTTTTAAATAATAAGGTTAAAGTGCATATCTCAAACTGAATATTTGATTTCAATCTGAAATTAAGTAATCAATATTTGAATTGATATCTGAAACATTTTGGATGCTCGTCCAAAACAGTCCACATATCGTGTTGTATATTTGGATTTTCAAATACTTTTGCTCATCCCAACATAAAAAATTATAATTGTTGCCTCGACAATATATGAAAGCATACTCTCAAAGGCTTAAGCAGAAAATGATGCATGGAAATGAATAAACTTTGACAAACACCAGGATGATTTGGTTAAGTTTAGATGACTATTCAACTTCAAAGTCTTTCCTCTTATTTGGTAAAGTTTCATGCACCTGGACGATTTTCTCTTTCTTATTGGGCTCAATGAGATAGAAGAAAGGGGGCGGGTGAGGATGGGAGAATAATAGCACTATAGAATTCATACCATCTCTGTCAACTTCATGGCGTATGGCTGATTGATTTTTGTTTCTAGAAGGATCTGATCTGGCAATACTTAATTTCTTCTTCAGTAACCACTGTCTGTTCTTCCCCACAGCAGCATCAAGGTGTGCATCATCACTAAAATCCACATATGCAAGACCCTTGTACACATTGAGTGATATAATTAGATAGTTTCCATCATAAATTGTAGTATATAAGGGAAAGTAAGCAGCATTCACTTTATTTTTTACCTTATCCCAGTATATAATGATTATAACGTATGAGAAGAAGTAGCATATAACAAGTAAAGAAGACAGAAAATTACCCTTGATTTCCCAGTATCCCTATGCTTTAATATTCGGATAGATTGAACTCCACCGACATCACTAAAGAATTTGCGAAGATCTTCATAATTTGCCTGCACAAGTTGTTAACAATTTGACACCACATTTCTCAAAACATTTGATGTTCTCATGCGGAACTTGAAGGCGACGGGAGAAAATGAAAGCATATATAGATAGAAAAGTATAAAGGATAGGTATAACGGTATCAACTCACTTTGGGATCAAGGTTAGATATGAATGCTGTGCATTGATCTGTGTACATTGCCTTTCCATGCATGGTTTGCTTCATAAGCTGTTCATTGCTGCTAGTGCTATCCATTTTTTTAATATTTGCTTCAGTCTCTTCCACTGTGGCTGTTCGAGAAACATCTTTGTTGTGACTTTTTTTTGTCCCTTCCTTGAAGGCTTCTTTCACGTCTTTCAGTCGTTTTGAAGGAGATTGATCCTCCAACAAACTTGAAGTTGATTTTCGTTTTTCACGAGCATTTTTCTTGGAGGAATGTTCACTAACATCTCCAGCAGTCACAAAAGTTTTGCTATCTTGCTGCAAGTTAAATACCTGCAATTCCTCCAAACGTGGTGAAACCTGGAGCAATGCATAGCCGCATAAATGAGCAAGCAAGTAAAGCATTGCATAATTCCTTAATATATATAATATGACATAAAATAAATCTATAAACTCCACTTGTTCTAGATAAATTTTCAAGTTGCTCAGGGAGATGTACCAGTAAACTAGACCAGAAATAAGGTAGTTGAAATTGACAGATTAACTAAATTCAATCAATGAAGCAGACAAGCCATGAGAGCACATGATTAGACGAGCACATGGGGAGAAGAACGTGAAAGGGCTTAAAATTATAACCGGTTTGAAATTGTAATAACAAAGCCCAAAATTTTAAATGGAATATCAGGGAAGCAGTACTGGTTACAGAAAACAGGAAGGCAATCCAAATAAGGGTTTGTTTTCGTAGGAGGGGGGGGGAGGCTTTTCTCGATCTGCAAAAGAAAGCATTATCGAAATTTTCTGTCCCTATAAAATTTTAGAAAACTTCTTAAGGATTTCCAAGTAGTCATATCTTAAACTTCACTAGTGCACTTGACTTCTTCACTCTCCTTCGCCTAAAATCATTTGGCCAACGCACATGAAATCATACAGTGTAAGATTTCACTTATTTTTGAAGCCAAAGATATGCCTTTGCTATCTGCTTTTGTCACTCCATTCCACCTGTGTATGTTATCATTATGTTGCCTTCCATTTAGGATATTCTTCAGTTTGTTCAGAATACGCAGTTTTCAATTATAGGTCATTCCGCCACCTCAGAAGCTATGCTGCCCTGACACTTTACTGCAGTCATCTGACTTCAGACTCAACAATCTTTTAAGTTGCTGTACAACTGTCATGTTCGTTTGATTTCATGTTTTTATTTTCCAATTTTACACAGTACTCCATACGTCCCTTTTTTTTTATTGTCCCATAAAATAAATTTCACTTTTTTCATGAAACAAAGGCAAGAATTGCGCACATAGGGTTGCACGTGGAGTTGATGAGGAAAGAGAGAAACAGAGCAGGTGAGGTTGCAAATTGCAAGTGGGATTATTTATTTAATTAGGTGATGGAGCAATCTTAAACGGACACCCCAGAAGGAATACAAGGAAAACAAAAAGGGACAAAGGGAATAAAAAGTTATGTGGGAATTTTTCTAAAAGGTTTGTTTAACATCTTTCAGCTAAGTGATCATGTCTAAATATTCCAGATTATGGAGCCTTTTCTTTTCATCCATAGGCCTTATACTTAAGGTGGACAGGGGCTAGGGTTTCATGATGCTTCTTTATCTCGGCTTAACGGAATTTAGGCAATGATATTACCCAGCCAAACACCCAGACCTAGGGGCTACTAGTGCAACATTAACATAGTCTTATTTTTAGCTAGTTTTTAACAGCTAAATACATAACAAGTGAATGAGTTTGTTTTCAGGGCAAATGGCCAAAAAAACAAATGACCATTTTCCACTTAACAAAAGAATGAGGATACTCACTAAAGAAGAGAATCTGGCCAAACGCTGTTAATTGATAACTTAATATGTCATCTATGCAACAATATTACCCAGTCAAGCACCCAGACCTAGGGGCTCTCTGTCCACCATGAAAACAGTCAAAACAAGGGCTATCTGATCATTACACAACAAGCAAATAAATAAATTCTAGGACAACTGGCCAAAGAAAAAAGAGCATCTGGCTCTTCACAAACAATCAAGATAAAAATCAAAAGAGCTTGGTTTCTAACACAATCAAAATGTGAAAAGTAATGCACAAATTTTCACTAACGATTAAACAACATTAAATTGAAGAGCAAAAAGAGAGAGAAACTTGCCTTCTGAACAGCATAGTCATAATCCGCCAGAGTTCCAAATTCCCTCTCAAACCGTAGCCAAGATTGGCATATGTCCTGGATAAATAACACACTCTTATTCGGACAGAGAGCATGTATATTTCCATCCACTACAAAGGGATCAAGCAAACTATACAACCAACGAGATTACAAAAAATAAATATTGAAAGCAAAAAAACTTAGCAGTAAGCTATTACAGAAGTACTTTTTTTGAGAAAATTCTACAACACTACTTACATATAATGTGCCTGCTAATTAGAAATACAGATACGAATTGGTATATTCGTATTCAGAGACGTTATATAGATCCAAAATCCAGAAGATGTATATTCATATTTTAGATTTTTCAAAAATAATAGAATGATTAGTGTGATGTGCCTATTTCAATTTCTGGAAAATGAATGTAGGACGTGCAGCAGATGATACACGAGAAATATTTTCATGGCAAGGGTTTTGAAGTGATGAAATGGAAAGGAAGAACTGCCAGCAACGGCAGACTCTTCTGACAGCAAACTTGGTGGCAATTTAAACCTCATTCTTCCTTCTTGGGCCTGAGATTATAAAGGAAAGGAGTTTCTGGTACCTTGGCTTGAGAAAGCAAGACTAGACTCAAAAGACAAGATAGATTATAAATAGAAAGCATAACACTAACAAAGTTAAAGGGTAAAAATAATGTGCTGCAACCATAAGCCTGGTCAAGGTTAAATTGTTTGGCCAGTAACTGTTCCCCTTAATATGAGGGTAATACATCACCATACTCCCCCCCCCCCCCCCCCCTCCCTCCAAAGGATTTAAATTGCCCATGTAAGAGCTCAGCCTCAACCATCAGTCTCTCCACTAACCTCTCTCATTTTTTTCTCTTCCTTCCATATAAAAAGTCAAAATTAATCACCATGCCTTTTGTTTCTAGATATGAAAATTATAGAATTTTTGTAATATGTAGCTAAAGATATTTAAATTACTATTAACATTGGAAATTGTGCAAATACCAAATGGAACAAACATTAAAAAAACAGGGAGCAATAATTTTACAGAATAATAGCTGGCAAAAACTGACACGACACGATAACACGACAAGAAAAAAGCGGGTTAGTGTTGAGCGTTTCCGACCCGTTTAATTAAGAGGGTTGACACGACACGACACGACTAGTTAAACAGGTTGGGTTACTGTTGAAAATTATAACACGAAAGTAATAGGCGGGTCATGTTCGGGTCAACCCCGTTTACCTGTATACCCGTTTAACCTGTTTAAAATCATAAAAAATCAAATACTTCAAAATGGCCCCAAAAATATTAACCTAAATTTACATTCTACCTAGTACCTAGCCGTCATATATAAGGTGTTTCACTGTTTCATTTTTTCTCCGTCATTCTAGTATTCTACCTTTTTCTCAATATCTCACGCACAAACATCTCAAGGTAATTGCACAAACATATACTTCCTTATTTTAGTTGATAATTTCTTGTATGATTATCAATTTATACAACTTTTCAATTTTATGTTCATCTATTAGTTAATTTAGTTTGTTCATCATTTTCCTAATTTGCTTCCGTAATCTCATGTTTCATTCTTAGATGGAATGTGCCTTAATCCACTCAAATTGATGGAGAAGAAGATGACCCAAAGCTTGAAATTGTTAAGGAGACACGGATAAATCCGACTAACAAAGAAAAGGGAAAGAAAATCGGGCTAAGTTTTTTAACACGAACACGACCCGTTTTGCTAAATGGGTTACACGTGTTAAATTCATGTTACCCGTTTAATAAACAGGTCGTGTTCGTATTTAGCCTCTCTGACCCGTTTCAGAGTTTGGGGGTCTTCAACCCGTCTATGATTGACCCGAACACGAACATGACACGACACGACACGACACGACCCGTTTGTCAGGTCTACAGAATACAATACAAGCATAGAATAACCTACAGCAAGTCAGCAACACAGTAATAAATTGGAGATCAGAAATATAGAACTGAGGTACAAGTGAATTTGGGGATATTTGGTAGGACATTGTCATGTTGATGCATTTAAACAAACAATTGTTTTTACAATCCCAGCTTTAGAGTGGATAGACAGTAACTAAAGCTAAGCATGATAAGACAAATAAAATCAAATTCTCCATCAATTTTCATCATGCTTTCTCTTTCCTTAACATCTTCTATTGATAGACTAACTCCCACCCTTTGTTTTGTTGCTCAAGCTTCCTCCAACTCAAGTTTAACAACTAACTATATATCGCCTAGAATACCCCCTCTTCTCCTTAGGCTAATATATTACAAAATATCTATTGGGAAAGAGGAGGGAGGGGGTCAGTGGCAGATCCAGGATAAACTTGGTAGTGCACCATCTAATACAAAATTATACAACTCAGACACTAGCTCCCTTAATTTTGGTTATCTAAAATTTATTAATAGCCTATATTTTATTATTGTAACCACGTAAACCAATAGCGATGTATCTATAAATATTAGTACGTGGGTCCGAAGTCTTCAATGGAAAAACACAAAATTGATTGAATATTATAAAATGCAATACATTAGTCCAAATTCCAAACGACAGCTAACAACAACAATCAGATTAAGGGAACCGACTTGGATGAAGCTAATAATCTTACTTAAGCAGATATTTCAAGAAAAGAATAAGGATCAGCTTCATGGTAGGGTAATCTTAGTAAAGCACTAAAGCATTTATCCATTAAAAAACTTCTTAATGAAGAAAGCCTGATATACCAATTTCCTTCAAGAAACTTGGATGATGAATCACATACTCATCAAATTTACAAGACTAACCAAATTCATGTAAGTCAAAAGAGAGAAGAAAGTTAGAGGAAACTAGAAGCACGTTCATAAAAATGAATAAATAAATAAAGATAAATATAATGCCACTTACTCATCACTCTTTGACAAACAATGGAGCAGTCAGAAATGCCTGATTTGAAACAGATCCTAGCCTATAGTAATCTTCATGTTTACTAAAATGTTTTTCCTATAAAGGATGAGTACAAGAAGGAATTCTGAATGTCCAAGTAGAAAAAAATATACCAGTGAACCTGAACCAGGAAATCTCTTCGTATAGCACCTCCGATATAATGATCTTGCTTCATTCAGATTTCCCTTGTCAATCTCCATCTGTATATAACCTTGCCAAGCCTCAAGCATGGTGCCACTATACACAGGAGATGTCAAATGCTGTAAAGGAAACAAATAATTTCACAACTTACAATAACTTACGCCCCCAAACATGGGATATACCAACCTTATTTTCAGCAAGCTTTCCCAAACTCCGCGAGCAGCAACTATATCATTTGCCAGGGTCAGCTCCAAATGAGCCCAATAAGCATGAAGACGCAACAAAGCATCTGTGCCTTTTAGATGTAAAGATAAGTAATCTGATGCACGCTGGACATAGTAGCAAATTGTGTCAATCGGTGGCACTATATACACAAAAACCAAACCTCAAAAAGATGGAAGGGATGTATACTTGCATAGGCTCCCTAGGAAGCCAGGAAAAAGATCGAGATTAAATAAGTACCATAAGCAACAAAAGTTACTAAGACCAGGAAAAAGGCATTACATAAGAAAATTTATTGTACCAAAAGAGAAAATCTTGTGGAAACATGACAACATTTAACTCTTTAAGGTAGTGACCTTTTCACCTAGATTTCACTTATCTTATAGAACCCTAAACTTGTCTTAACAGAACTTATCAAATTGATAAATTGGCCTAAACATGAAAATACGGTGAGGAAAACAGAGTATGTGATCCATGCAACCCGTGAAATAAAATTCCAAGAGATAGATACAGCATTATCAGATGAAGAAATGACAAACACATATAACAGGAAAAACCTATGAAGAAATAATATGGAATAACCTGTCTGCAACTAATTTTCATAGCATAGAGACCTAAGAGTTCACTGCACATCAACAAATTTGATTTCTAACAGTTTTATGACAAATATTAAATTTTGAAGTGAAACAAGCAAATCATAAAAGTCATATTTGCAAGGAAAATTATGATCACATGATAATGTGAGATGCAAATGAATCATAATGAGAGGAAACATGTGACTGGTGGCTAAACAAACCTGAAACACATCTCTGATAACAGCATAATCCAAGACCTGCAATTCACCAGATACTGAAATTCTTCTCCGCAAACCATCAATACGAGTAAGAAACAATTCCAGATACTGCAAAAATATTCTTGTGTCAGAACATCATGCACAGAAAATATGGTAGGACATCTTGTGTGAGCATGAAAGATGAAATTATTAATTTTAAAGGACAAATACAGATACCAAACAACAAGCATGATGAACGAAGCCCATGCACAGCACCACCTGGCCGACGTGCCAAGTTGTGATGTGCCATAGGGATCATGAAGTTTCTTTAGGTGAGAAGGGTGAGAAGTAATCTCAACCAGCAGATATTGATATCAATGGTCAAGATTGTAGGATCTGTAAGCATTTGTTAGAGAGGAAAACGCACGACTTATTATAAGCTACTTCTGAAAACTTTTAATTGGATCAATTATCTCCAATTTATGGTTATCTGTATCTCAAATCGAATTCTTCATCTTTCTTCATTTTTCATATCTCTATTATTGAAATACATGTGGTTATAATTTCAATTTTTTTGAAACAAACTATTTAGTTTTCCCCCCTCATCATTATCTTCTTCATCTAAGCTACAACAATAAAGATTTTGAACTTCAATCAATAAAGTAAGGTAATTGTAGTTTCTCCCCTCTCAATTATCTTCTGTTTTTGGTATCAAGCTTTCGGATCTTATTATTGTGGGCAAATTCATAATTAAACTACTAATATATACTTTAGCAAGATTTGTCGAAGCTGCAATACCTGACTAGCATATCTGAATAATTCTTCCAAGTTCTCTTTACTATTTGTGGATTAATCCCAATCGTCAATTGACATTAAGGTTTTTCAATTTTAAATACTTTATTTATCCTAGTCATAGATGACATCTACTTGATGTATTTGCACTTTAAGTTTGATGTATCTACAATGGTTCATTAATGTATGTATTTTTTATCTTTGATGTAACTGTGAAAGAGCGTAATATATATAGGATGTTGGATGTTTATTTGCAAGAATTCCGTCACTAACTTTTAAACAATGGGATGTTGGATATTTCAAAGTTTTTGGTATAAATAAGAAAGAGAAGTACATAGTTATTGTTTTTATTTTTTTTTTTGGGCATGCATAATGTATTTATGGTGTAGATAAACTGTATCCTTAGTGTATATCTAATGTATCTATAGTAACACTTGAATGTACCTCATTTTCTCACGCTTCTCACATTAAGCACACTTCTCATCGGACCCCAATATATATATATATATATATATATATATATATATATATATATATATATATATAGGTTGACCCGTCATGCTTGTATCGAGCTCATCCCAAAATTTGAAAATTATGACCATGCACAGCCCATGGCCCACCATCATTTTTTTTTTTCGAGCATTGAGATCTAGTGATATACTTTACTGTTCTTTCTGACCAATGGTAAAATAATTCTTTTATATAACAAAATAAATAATAATGAAGTAAAAGAACATAGAAAATACCTCCTCGTAACTTGAAATTGAACATTGAAGGGCCTTCTCAAATACCTAACAATGGGAAAAAAAAAATCATATTGTAGCTTTAAGATACTCAACAATTGCAATCAATCATTGAAACAAAGAAGCAAACATACTATGGACTTTCAACAAAATTCATCGAAAATGACAATATAATGATAGTCAACAAAAGGTCAACGAAACTGAGAATATAATGTAAGTGTCAACGGATACATCAAGCAACAAGAGCTTCCTTTGCAAAACTCCCAGTGATTCAGAAGTAGATAAAAGCTTAATTGCTCTACGATTAAATTCATACATCATACATTATAGTCAAGATTATGTCTTCATTATTCTTCAATAAGTTTGACACGGATAAGGTCAACATCCAAGAAAGTGGGAAAAGCTGTGACCAGGATAATTCACTTTTCCCGGAGAAGAAAATCTAAGAATAACTATCCCAGGTACAAATCAAGAAGCCTTTTTAAGCATTCTAAATAATAGAATGAAGGTTTAAATAGATATGGGTAGGCCGGCCAATTCAGTCAAATCTACTGAAAGATGAAACGGATCTCAATAAATGAACATTACTATAAAACCACTAAGCTGCAGTCAACAATCACTAAGCTTTTTTTTAAAAAAAAAAATTCGATCTGTAGGAAGCTGTAGCAAGAAGGTTCTTCTTGACTTCTGTCTCAGGATTCTTTACAAGCATGGAAAAAAAAACGCGGTCATGGTCGCGTTTGCGGTAACGGTCTCGTTGTCGAGGAAACGGCTTGTAACGGTTGAATAGAACAGATCGCAGATTTCGCGGCATGAATTTTTTTACAAAAATTACACAAGTAGAATTTTGGGCTTATTAATTCACCTGCTTTGTATCTATACCATATTATGCCCAAAACTATTACAAACATTAAATTTCAATTCTGATTAGAAGCCCCCAGACTATTTATTAAAAAAAGGGGTAAAGAGAGGTAGTTAATGGGTCACAGCTCACCATAAAGGTAAAATAAATAAATGGGTAAAAGAGATGATGGAACAAAGCTGTCACCAATGATGCACGGGTACGGCTCTGGGCTGCCGTCTCCCGTACCCGAAACGTCTCGGAGACGGGTACGCGACGGGGACGGCTAGGATACGTCCCCAATCAGTCCCCATCAAAAGTGGTACGGCACGTCATTTTGGGGACGGCTAGGGTCTTGATCGGATACGCTTCGGGTACGGGAAATCCAAAATTCCGCCGTACCCAAGAAGCCCAGCCCAATTTTTTTTAAAAAAAACCCCAAATCAGAACAAAACTTACCTCATACTCGATTTCCCCCAATTCTCACAAACCCTAAAACTTCGAACTCCTTCATCTTCTCCTTCCCTGTGCGATTTGATTGACGGCGGCGACCCGGAGACTCACCTGGAGGCTGCGACAACCGACGCCTGGTTCAAGGCGGCGCCGGAGACCCACCTTCTTCTTCGCTGGAGACCCACCTGCGAGGCTTCCTGCTTTTCCTGAGTTCTTTCTTTCTGACTCTCTTCTTTCTATCTTTCTGTAAGTCTTTTGTTTTCTTTTTTAATTGTTTTTATTTGTTGTTGATATTAAATGAGAATGTCAGTAGGTAATTTTTTTTTTTTTTTACATTGTGCAGTTGAATGGAGTCTCAAAATGTTGGTAGTGGGTATGGTAATTTTTTTTTTTAATGGATTTATATTTTGCTGATATTTTTTTTGCCGTATCCGAGCCATACCCGTATTTTGAAAAAAAAAAATTGCCGTATCCCGTCCCCGTATCCGTACCCGTTTTTGTCCCCGTATCAGTGCAACCTAGGCTGTCACAACTGCAGTAAAAATGTTGAAAAAAGACAAAAAGTGGAGCAGCATGTGACTATTTGACTCAACTTTTTTAATTACTTTTTCATAAATTGTACTTCCTTCTTCAACCCCCGGTCCCCTGCTCCTCACTTCTTCTCTTTCTCCGCCATGTTAGCACTAATACGAAGAAATGTGAGGCTGTTTCTGAGCATTTCAGCAAGCCCAAAACGATTACTCGCTAAGTAACGGTTTCAGAACGGCGTTCTACCGTTACAGAACGGCTAACTCGCCGATGTGGGTGTGAATTTCAACTCGGCGTGATATAACGGCCTTTTTCGGAACGGCAAGTCTGAAACCCGTTACATAACGGAACGACCGAGTTTTTTTTTCCAATTACAAGTGGAGAATAACTGTAGTAAATAAAGTAGACCAACTAAATAATGCTAAAAACATCACAGTCATAACAACACCAAAACAAGAAGTGTGATGTTATTGACATAACGCTTCAGATCCAACATCACTGAATAAATTGTTTACAAAAATTTGAGAACAAACAAGCTAGCAAATATCTCAATCAAAACCATTCAAATGAGAATTACACCATATCATACATCCATACCAGGGAAATTTCATCCTCTGAAGCGTGAGCCCGTTCCAAGCAAAGCAACTGCCTCACCCAGAGTTCCCCAATCCAAGGGCAATTACTTGTGGCTCTACTGATAACATTATTTACAACATTTCCAACCTGAAATAAACAGATATTAATATGATCAACTAATTCAAAAAATGGAATAAGCCTATCACGATTGAGAAAGTACCTTGAGCGTTTTCTCTAAATATCGAGTATAGTCTATCCACAAATCACTGGATATAGGAAACTCAGTTATCAAACGTTCATATAGAATCTGAACTCGTGCAGGGTCACCTGCAGTCTCTTCAAATTTCAAGTATTTCTGTGGAAACATAACAAAATACATCTCAAAACCAATAAATGGGGAATATCAGTTTTAAAGGGAGATAAACAGAATAAAAATTATAGTCCTTACATTCTACTAAAACCAGATATGAAGCATCATTTGGTCACAAAAGTATTGTCAAGCACATCATAAACCCATTAGTCAAATACAAAGGCAAGATAAATGAACATTACTATATAAACACTAAGCTGCAGTCAACAACCCAAGAGTTTAAGTTAGCTTAGCCTTTGTGTAATTAACGTCAAAGCTAAGCTAAGACCTCTGAATCCATAACTTATTTCATTCATTAAAAGGGAAAATAAATTAAAACATTGGATGAACAAAGTGACTAAGAAAAACAACCATGTCAAAGCCAAAATTCCAGTAGGATAAAATTGTTTTTACAATAAAATTACATTTTTACAGAACTTAACGTTACCGGTATAGTTATGATTTTATGAAGATATTACGACATCATTATCTTGATTCTTGAGGTTGTTTGCAACTGTGCCTTAGCCCTTGTGCAGTATCTTTAAAATTTTGGAAGATAAAAACTGAATTTAACCGTTATAAATCACCTAGCACGATAAAATCACAAAAGATGCACTCACACAAACATTAACTTGGGAAAGAAGCTATGGAATTAAGAAACCTCACGGCGATATATGTCCAATATCGTAATATTAACACCTTATAAGGAACTTGTAAATAATAAACAAGAAAGTCGAGAATATAGCAACTAAAAATATAGTTTTTTCTGCAACTTGAAATCCTAAGACTCTCTTCACCTGATTTTCACTTAACTTGAGTTTAACTCGGGAAAAATTGGAATAAAAAATCTCTAACTATAGCTGATATTCTTATAATAATCCCAGCTTTGGATTATTATGAAATAATCCCAACCCCACCACCTGCAAGGATGCAACCACAACCTCCCCACCCCCACCCAAATATGGCACCCAACCCAAGCCCCACCACCTGAAACCGACCCCGGTCCCTATACCTACCCCAGAAACCGCCCCCTCCTAAACCAACTTCCCTCTCTATCCCCACCGCGGAAACCTCCCCCCTCCCAATCCCCCACCTCAAAACAGCCCCCTCCCTAACCCCTAACCCTAACCTCGAAACAACCCACTCACCACCCAACCGCCCCTTTTTTCTCTCATTTAGGGGAGGGGAATCCGGTGATAGGGGAAGGCAGCCAAGGGAGGGGGGTGGGAGGGTTCGTGTAGTAGGAGAAGGGGAGGTGGTGGCTGGGAGGGAGGTCAATATAGTGGTGGACTGGTTTGGTTGTTGACCAAAGTCAAAGTGAAGAAAAATATATTTTTTACTTATTTAATAGGTTAGCAATCACTTGGGCTTAATAAAATGAAATACCTCTAAAGTTCAGATTATTCTAAATAATTCAAAGTACGGATTATTTAAAGAAAATCGGCCAAAAGTGGAATTATAAAAAACAATTTTTTCTTAATATTATTTCTATCAAACCAAAATTATTTTTATTGAAAAAAAAAAATGTTGAGCTTAAATTATTTTTACTGATTAAAAATTATATTTACTATTTCAAATTTTACTTTGTTCTTTGAATTTAATGATTTTACTGATTAAAAAATTTATTTTAAATGAACTGAAATTATTATTACTAAACTAACTAAACTAAAATTATTTTTACTAATACCATTGTGATAAGGTGAAGAGAATAGGGCCTAAGTAGTCAACAAGCATACACATGCAAACACCAGAATCAATTTGCAAACCAAACATAAGTTCCTTTGGTGAGCGTATTTAAGTCTAGGAGATACAACATGTTCCTACTAATGTGTGCATGTACGTTCCATCATCAATGAACATATAAGAAATTAAGTCTAGGAGATACAACATGTTCCTACTAATGTGTGCATCTACGTTCCATCATCAATGAGCATAAAAAAGGTGCACATATTTTCCAACTTCATACCTTGAAGAGTGGAATTCTTTCTGTATCTGGTACATCAGATTTAGAAATCTGCTCTTCCAGAATTTTGCGAGCATCACACATCTCCAATGCCTTCTTATAAGCAGAAGCAACATGAGAAGAAATCCCTTCCCAGTCACCGGAGTTAACATCAAGATCAATTCCCTGCTGCACTTCCCAAACCTTATAAGCAAGAAGCGTTGAATTCATGTCGGCCAAGGGAACAGATAGCTGCCTGTGAAATATATTTCGAACACGCTGAATTTGCTTTTCTTTCCCCTGATCAAAAAGGGGCATTAAAATTATAAAGATGAATTAAAAAAGCAGACTAGGTATAATGATTTAAACTAATTCAATAATATCTAAACAAAGTGTCATTGAACTTAAGCTATAACATTATGGAGCCTCTGCCCTTTGTAACAAAAAAGATAATTGAAACAAGAAATTAATATCCCAATAGTATCATTAATGAACAAAATTAGAGAAAATAAGACACCTATGAAGACCTCAGTACAATTGTCTCCCAGTTGCACATCAACACATATAGTAATAGACTAAAATATAGAAATCAGTGACTACTGTCATACCCTAAAGAATGGTTATGACTTATGAAACATGAACAGAGCCAAAGAGACATTCCTTAGCTAAACTTGAAATTTTCTCTTGGTAAAGGCTGCTTTTATTATCAACATGCAAGAGAAACAAGAAGAGGGATGCAGAGGCAATATGCCACTTTTCAGCATCACTAAACAAGTAAACAATTATAACGATCTAAATAGCTTGAAACCGGGACAATATGGTACCTTCTATCTACATCACATGTTTGCATCATTCATCTTCATAATTCTATTCCTGAGGTTTACCATATTCTAAAGATATCCACCCTGTGGAATTCATTTTATTGCATAAGCATGTGCTGTTCAAGCAAATAGTGATCTGCATGAGTATGTGACATAATCCGTAGCCACATGAATATTGACATGTTGAGCACGTCTAAACCTCCAGGTGGTATAAGTGAGGAACAGATACATGTATAAAAAGAGTACAGCAGCAAAAAGTAAATCATGATGTAAGATAATATAAAGATCACAAAACACACCTCGATGTCAGAATCATCAATTGTAAGGCATATAGCTTGCTCAAATTCTTTGTAGGCTTCCCATATTTTACTGCCTTCACAAAAATGCAAGCCAGCAACTGTAAGAGCACGCTCAAACAAGTTCCTTGCCTTTGAAACACCAGAAGCAGAAAACTCGCGGATTGAGATATCATGTTCTTGCACAAAATTTAAGTAGTCACACCAAAGAGGGACAGACTGCAGAGGTAATAAGAAATTACTATCAATTTGTTTGATTCAATACATCTACTACAACTACAGAAAGCAATTTCTTGTGATAATGGACTGTAGCAACAAATGCAGTACTAGTAATTGTCAGTGAAGAAATTTTGTGAAATGATATTAACCTATGTTACATATCAGGCCATAATGTAATGGCATGGCACTACGGTAGGCATGCTTAACATCAACTCCCTCCATTCAAATATATATGCTGCATAACACTAACCATGGAATACTAAGTACGTGACATGTAACACAATCACGATTTTAAAGGAGCCTTATAAGAAATTGGAACCTTCTAAAACTCACATGATCACTCAGTATTAACTTGGGATATACCCAAAAATCCTGAATAATCACTAAAATTTTACACTAGGTGACAACATTTTTCCAGACATCGTTAAATAGATGTGACTACTGACTACGACTTATAAACAAAGAGAGTATCATATAACAGCCTCCCAAATATTCACTGAAGCAAGCTTTATATAGAAGCAAAACAGCTCACCAGATAATCAGATACACCGCGTTCATATATCTTTTCAATAGCTGGAACAGCCTCCGGCCTAGCAAACAATGGTTAATAATGCAACAGTATAAGCTAGTCAAGATCTTCAGGATTAAGAATAAAAACAAAATGAATAAGAAAACAATCACCAATCATTTCCAATGTTCCACACTTTAAATCCCAAGGTAGTATTGAATAGAGATAATACAACAACAAAGCCTTATTCCTAAAATGATATAGTGCCGGCTAACATGAGACATCATAAGGAACCGGCCGCAAAAAGTTAAAGCAAGTAAACATAGAGAAGTGATAAATTGAAAGTGGACAAGAAAATATCAGAAACATAGTGAGCAAGAAAATGAAGGCGGTGTATTGTGGAAACCCAAGATGAGGATGTACAAATATAGATTGAGGAAGACTTACCTAAGAGGGCTACAGGAGATAAAAAGAGAGGGAAAACCACATGAGAAACAGCATTGAATTTCTTCTGTAGAACAGAGATATGCCATGGCATTTCTTTTGAGTACACATGAGGAATGGAAAGAGACCAAGATTCAAAGTTCATCTATGTATTATGGTAACAAAGAACTTTAGACCAGCCAAAAAAAAGCACTTTATAGTTCACGTTTCTAAACAGATTAACCAAAAATTTAGTATGAAAAATACTGACAGTCAACAAATGACACAGATGTGTTAATACAAGCAAAATCAGTCCAGGTTCAATCTCAATGCAACACAAACATGCCTCAATTGGCTAACCAGCCAGGCGTGTCTAGTTGAGCACGGATTTGTTCCCCATATTCCTTTCCAATCCGCACAAAAAACTCCTCTTCCTGCGAGCAAAAATGTGCTTCTTGCACCGAAATGCCTCAACAAATCAGAGAAACACATATTTATTTTTACTAGCCAACCATATCTCTCTATCCCCCTTTTTTAAGTTGTTTTGTTTTTATCGTCCACAAATAGAAACATAAAGGACAATTTTTACCACAATGTGGAGTGTGATGATGGGTGATGGCATGCTCTTCTTTCTTGATTTTTCTCCATCAGCTCTAGTTTATTCATTCACAATTGTGGCGGGGAGGGGGTGTGGGAGGTGGTGTGATGACTTCAAATTGGTGGACATGAAGTTGGTGATGAGTATGCAAAGGAGAGCAGTACTACTACACTTTGGCAATGAGCATCCAACCAGGGAAAAACTAAAAGCCTTTGGGGAAATATATACACATAATCCCCTTGCCTTGCTTAATCGAAGAGATGCTTAAGATAACGTTGACCAGGGGCAACCAAATTGTGACAATATATTTACATCATTACTGCCTACCCAAAAGCAACAAGTACTATCTAGCTCACCAAAATTTTCCCAAGAAATAATACTTCTCAAAACAAAGAAAGCTAACACAATTTATCCGGTACTGATTTTGCTCCTACCTCAACGAAATTTGTTTATGGATCAAAAATTAGTTTCACGAACATAAGAAACTCAGCTCAAACTATTTCAGTAGAAAAAAAAAAATTTGAAATACATAAAACCGCAAATGAACCATAAACAAGATTTGATGTAATAACAAAAGAGAGAAAAAGGTCCATACCCAGAACACAAAGTAGTTTCATCTTTAGCCCACTCTTGCCACATTGTAGGTGTTAAGGGGAAAATCTGGCTCATTGATTCCCTTGCTTCCCTGAGTTTATCAATCTCGCCCATTTTCCTTAGCAAATTTATGTACTACAAACAATCGCAAAACCCAAAAAAAATTATATCAAAAAATTCGGAAAAAGTTTCAAAATTGTTGAGAAATTAAAATATAGACGATTTTATTCAAGTAATTATACCTGAACATGAGCATCGTAATTAGAGGGATTACAAGAGAGTTCCGATTCCAGGGTTTTGAGCTCCTGTAAGAGTTGAGCTTCATTTTCATCATCGGAGTCAGAGTCGGAGTTGTCGGTCGACGGTTTAGCTGCTGTAAAATCGATGGTATCTGTTGGTTCACCATTGTTGGTGGAATTTAGCTCTTCGGGATTTTCTGACATCGTTTCGAATTCGGCTGGTTCCGCCATTTCCAGGTTTTAAAAGGAAGGAAAGGGAATCAAAATTGTAACCTGGACAGAGCAGAATGAGAAGTTTTTTATCCTAGAGAGCGGAATGAGAATTCTTTTTTTTTTTTTTTTTTTTTTTTTTTTAGAAAATTTGTAATTATTAATCCTAACTCTCACCATTTATTTTCATTAATCTCAACTATCTATAATAATCAATACTAAAATAACAATCACTGACATCATCTTTTTTAAAAAATTGTACTTGTGTCAACTTCTCCTTAAATTTTTTCCCGCCTAAATTTTTTTTGGGTTTTTCTAAGCTACGCCCTTAAGGTATTCGAGTTTCTAAGGTGTACCCATGCTATTTCAAATTTCTAAGTTGTGCCCATCAACTCACTACCATTAATGAATGGTACTCTCCTTGGGACTTCCACGTCACCTAAAGTTAACTATAAATTTAATAAAAAGATGATAAAAGGTAAGGAAATGATACGAGAAAGAAATTTTAACCACAACAACCCTAATAACAAAAACTAAAGCCACGAAATCACACTCTCAATTAACTTTTAAATAACTAATAAGGGTACATTTTAGTATTGATAAGAAGTTGAAGGGCACGGCTTAAAAACTTGAAAAAACATGGGTACACCTTAGAAACTCAACTACCTTAGGGGTATAACTTAGAAAAACCTTTTTTTTTTTCTCTTTCGATTTTCTTTATTAATTTTTTTACGGTTATTTCACCAAATGTCACTGAGTACTTACAAAATTCACCAAATGTCATCAAACTTTTCAAAATTCACCAAATGCCACTGACAAACAATACAATGACACCTCGTGCCACTAATAGCATATGAACGTTAGTTTTCTGTTAATGCAATTTTTATTTCACCAAATGTCATTACTTTGGAAAATCATTTCACCAAAAGCCATTACTTTTTCAAATTAATACATAATAATTATTTATTTTAATGAATAACAATAATACTTTTTTCGATTTTCGTAACGAATATTGTTCGGATAAGATTTTTGGGGTCATTTTGACCCTTCATGATTACAAATTAAACTCGAAATTGGCCCGTTTCGCATTTTTTTTCCGAAAAAAAATAATGATATCAACATATAAAACGAGGCATATATGTTATTTTTTAGTCAATTCCGAGCTTAATTTGTTCTCATAAAGGATCAATATGACCCCTAAAACCTTACCCGATCAATTTTGATGAGTAAAAAAAAAGACACGCTAATCGAAATATTTTTTAACACACAAAACGGAGTATTTACGTTTTTTTGTCAATTGTGAGTAATTTATACCTATAAAGAGTCAAAATGACCCCCAAAACCTTAGCCGATCAATTTTGATGGTTAAAAAATAATGAAACTCTAATCGAAATATTTTTCAACACATAAAACGGAGCATTTACATAATTTCTTTGTCAATTCTGAGCTTAATTTGTATCCATAGAGGCTGAAAATGACCTCCAAAACTATACCCGAGCAATTTTTGCCACGAAAATGAGGAAAAAAAATATTTTATTGATTAAAATAAATAATTAAAATGAACCAATTATATAATGACACATGCCAAGATTTAACCTTAATGACTAACGGAGTTAACAGCCGTTAGTCATTAATGACATTTGGTGAATTTTTTAAAAGCTCGATGGCACTTGGTGAATTTTGAAAACCTTGATGGCATTTGGTGAATATTTTAAGTACTCAGTGGCATTTGGTGAAATAGCCTTTTTTAATATAATTTTTAGGAAAAGTTAGAAAAAATAATCCCAATTTTCATCAATTTTGGTAGAATAATCCCATCTTTGATTTATACTGGAATAATCCGAACTTTTGGGGGTCTTCTTTTTCTTCAATCCCTAACCGGTCAACAAAAGTCAATGACCTATTATATTAGGGATTTGTTAAACGTCGCCCGCAAATCTCCACATAAAGCCCACAAATATTTTTACTTTGACTCTTTTGCCCTTTTTCTAATTTTTACCGAAACCGTAATTCACTCTCACGAAGAATGTGGAGCTGGAGTGGATCGCCGAGGGACACCGAAGAGCTGTCATCGTCGCCGGAAAGCGAGATAATCCGGGGGAAAAATTACGAAAAGTAGGGTGGCGTCTGGTCAAGACGCCGCCACCATGGCTGTGGCGTCCTGGCCAGACGCCGCCACCATGGCTGTGGCGTCCTGGCCAGACGCCACCCCTACTTTTTGTAATTTTTTTTTTTTTTTGTAATTTTATTTAAACTTTTTGTAATTTTTTTTAAATTTTATTTAAAGTTTTTGTTTTTTTTAATTAAACATTAACACAAAAAATTCTGATTTAAAAAAAATATATACATTAGAAATAAAAACATTAACACATAAAACAAAAATATTAAACATTAACAAAAGAATTCTGATTTTCCAAAAAAAAAATATTAGAAAAAAAAAAAAAAAAAAAAAGTGGTAGGGCGCCTGGCCAGGACGCCCAGCCCCTGGTGGTGGCGTCTGCTCCGGCCGCCGGGACCAGGGGGCTGGCGTCTGACCTGGACGCCCAGCCACGGCGGTGGCGCCTCTGGAAAACGCCACAACCGTGGCTAGGCGTCCAGGTCAGACGCCAACCCCCTGGTTCCGGCGGCCGGAGCAGACGCCACCACCAGGGGTAGGGGTTGGGGCGTCCTGGCCAGGCGCCCCACCTCTTCTGGTTTTTTTTAAAAAAAAAAAATTTTAAAAAAAAAACCCTGCCACCGTGAGCCGTCCTTCCCTCCGCCGCTGTGGCCGCCAAGTCCTTGCCTTGCCGCCTCAACATTGCCGTATTTTCGGGTGATTAGAGTGTGGGTATGGGTTAGATTTTTTTATTTTAGGTTTAGGGCAATAAGGTAAATTCAATATAGATTTGTGGGCTTTATGTGGAGATTTGCGGGCGATGTTTAGCAATCCACTTATATTAGGTCACTTGACACATGTCAAACCCTGATTGGTCTAAAAATTAGAAAAAAAAAAACAGAAAACCCAGCCAACCTCCCCTCCCCTACTGTCCCACCCTAACCTCCGCCACTACTGCCTAGTCTGCCGCCGACCGTTGACCGCCTTTCTTCCCCATTGATTGCCTATCTCCCACTTTGTTTTCCCCCTTCCTCGAAATACCCTCCAACCCCCTGCGCAACCACCAGTCCACCACAAAAAAAACCCCTTTTCTAATCCCGAAAAACCCCAAAAATTCCTCCTCCACCTCAAAACCCGAGCGGCTAGGGTTTTCGATGGTGGGGGAGGAGCTTTTGTGGGTTTTCGCGAGTGAGGGTGGAGGTTTTAAAGGGTTTTCGCGAGTGAGGGTGGAGGTTTAAAGGGTTTTTGAGGTGGTTTGGGGTTTCGCGAGGTGGTTTTTTGGGGGTTTCGAGTGGTAGTGGTGGCTGGAGCAGGTTGACGTAGGTTTGAAGGGAAATTTGAGGGTGGTAGTTCAAGGGGGAACGACGGCTGGGGTTTTCCGGGATTAGGGGCGGCGGGAGGAGGGTTGTGGACGGCGGGCAGAAGGTTGTTGGATTGTGGTGGTTGTGGTTTCAGTGAGCTATGGGCTGGGTTTCTAATTTTTTTTTTTTTTTTTTTTTTTTTTTGCTAATTAGCTCATGACTCGTGGCACATGTAAAAAAAAAAGAAATTAACCTTTTCAACAAGTAACCGGTAATTAGGATTGAAAAAAAAGACCCCCTAAAGTTCGGATTATTCCAGTATAATCCAATGTTGGGATTATTATACCAAAATTGATGAAAGTTGGGATTATTTTTTCTGATTTTTCCTAATATTTATTTATTTTGGAAAAGCTAAATATTGACTACAAAACATTTTTATCTTAAGTTACATATAGCTAATCTTAAGGAAAACAAATATTAATCTTGTATATATGTGATTACTCCGTCTAATTACAACTTCCACTGAATTTTGTTGTAAACATGATATTTTTTTTTCATTATACAGAGTACTATTTTAATTTTTGTAGTTTGGTGTTGATTAATAAAAAGGTTTTACATATTTTGAGTGATGATATGACCTGAAATTGCATGTATACAATTATAAATTCTTTCAATTTTATTTGTGCATCGCACGGGAGCTAATCTAGTCGATTATTACTAAATAATCCCAACTTTGGGAGGCATTTTCTTTTATCAAGTCATGACCGGTCAATAAAAGTCAATGACCTATTATAACAGTTAACTTGACACGTGTTAAGCCATAATTGGTCAAAAAAATTAAAAAAAATAAAAAATTACAAAAATTGAAAAAAAAAAAACAAAAACCCCAACCTCTCCCTTCCGTTCACCGGACCACCATACCTTAACCCCCACCCTGACATCCCACCCACCCTTTTACCACCGTGAAACATAAACCCCCACCCCTAACCTCGTCGGCCACAGCCTTTGGGCCACTAAAATCAACCGATCGACGAACCCAACCCCCAAAACCACCAGTCGCACCACCACGACCCCTAAAACAACTGGTTCACGCGAACCTCGGCCCCCATTACCACCGGGAGCGTGAATCCCGAGCCCCAGGATGAATCCCGACCCCCATTACCACCAGCAGCGCGAACCTCGACCCCCAAAACCAACAGCCGTGCGAATCCTGAACCCCAACATCACCAGTCGCGCAACCGCAACGCTTGAAACCACCGTCCGCCACGAACTTCGACCCCCTAAACCCTGACTTCCCTCCCTCACTCACGAAAACCACCAAACGCCCCTTCCCCACCATGTTGTTAGGGTCGTGAGTGGGGGAGGGAGAATGGTGGTTTTTGTGAATGGATGAGGGAGATCAGCGTGAAGGATGGAGATGCGTCTAGGAGGAGTTGCGCTGCTTTAGGGTTGTTTTCGGCGACGAGGGGTGAAAATGGTGGCTTAGGGGTTGTTATCGGCGACGGGGGGTGAGGTTGCGGTGTTTTTCAGTGGGGTTGGGGAAGGAGATGGTGGTTTCTGGTGGTGTTAAGGAAGGAGGTGGTGGGGCTATGGTGCTGGTGGGTTTGGTTTTTAATTTTTTTTTTGTTTTTTTAAAATTAACTAATGAAATTGCGAGCATGTAAGGAAAAAAAAAAACCTTTTAAACAAGTCACCGGTCATTTGACTTGATAAAAGAAAAAGTTGAAATTATTCAATAATAATCGATAGTTGGGATTAATGAAAGTAAATGGGCGAAAGTTGGGATTAAAATTACAAATTTTCCTTTTTTTTTAGGAAAGAAAGCGGAATGAGAAGTTGGTATACTATATCAAGCTTTTTTCTTTTTCTTTTTTTCTTTTTTTTTTTTTTTAATTTTGGTTCATAAT